TGTTTTAACTTACACGAGTCAAACTAACAAACGACTCACTTCATTCAATATGTAATTTATTGTGTTTTATATTGAAAATTACTTTGAGGAAACATTAAGAGAACATTTTACAAGGAACAAATATTGTATTATAAAAAAACTTGTGAGACAGAATTTATTTTATCTTGTAGGTATGTCCTTCCACATTTACGAAACCATAGCCTAAAACGAAGTATTCACTCCAAGTTAAATCCCATAAGCATAGTAAATTAACAACATTGAGTCCAGAGTTAAGTCGAAGTCCTGACATTTATCAAGTTTTTACAGTTTCCATTTCAAGTTCGTTCAATTATTCATTAATCGAGCTTGAACAAAATTTATTAGATCAAAAATGTACATTTTGCTCAAGTAACAAACAATGTTTATTCTTGATTTTTCCAATTAGCTAAATCATCGTAAAATTTCGTTCACATTTTTTTGTTAGATTAAGAACCAAACATGCGAGCCAATTCCTAAAATGTCGAGTGAATTTGGCTAGAGGACAGGGGTTAACACGTTTGAGTGGTTTTGGCTTGACTAGTGGCTAGTTGTGTTATTGAGCTAGGTCGAGTTGATCACTAACTCACGTTTGATCCTTGGAGAAATTACAAATTTTAAGGTCTCTCTTAATTGACTCTTCCCAAGTGAGTTTAGGCCGACCTCTACCTCTCTTTACATCAGCGACCCGCTGTAGAACTCCCCTACGCACCGGTGCATCATGAGGCCTCCGTTGGACATGTCCGAACCACCTCAGCCGATGTTGAACCAATTTCTCTTCAATTGGAGCCACCCCGACCCTATCTCGAATATCCTAATTCCGGATTTTATCCCTTCTTGTGTGCCCGCAGAACCAACGCAGCATACACATCTCTGCTACACTTAGTTGTTGGACATGTTTCCTTTTTGTAGGCTAACATTCAGCACCGTATAGCATCGCCGGACGAATCACCGTCCTATAGAGCTTACCTTTTAGCCTTTGTGGCACCCTCATATCACAGAGAACGCCCGAAGATTGACGTCATTTCAACCAACCGATTGAAATTCTATGCCTAACATCAACATAAATGTCGCCATCCTTTTGTAGCATCGATCCTAAATACCGGAAAGTCTCCTTCTTAGCCACCACTTGCCCATCAAGGCTAACGTCACCATCATCATGTGTAGCCATGCTGAAAGCGCACGTCATGTACTCGGTCTTCGTCCTATTAAGTCTGAAGCCTTTCGACTCTAATGTGTCCTTCCACAGCTCTAACTTCCTATTTATCCCTGCCATACTCTCGTCAACTAGCACCACATCATCACCAAAGAGCATACACCAAGGGATATCACATTGTATGTCCCTTGTGGCCTCATCCATCACCAAGACAAATAAATAAGGACTCAATGCTGATCCCTGGTGTAATCCTATTTTAATTGGAAAGTCGTTGGTATCAGCCCCACATGTTCGGACACACGTCATCGCATCCTTATACATATCCTTGATGAGGGTAATGTACTTAGATGGGACTTTGTGTTTTTCTAAGGCCCACCACATGACATTCCTCGATACTCTGTCATAAGCCTTCTCAAGGTCGATAAAGACCATGTGCAAGTCCTTCTCAAATAAACTTATTAGATAAACTCGAGCTTTTTAAAAAAACTCGTCTTACCAAACAAAACTTGTTTTTTAATATATAAAAATTATAAGATAATCAAATAAACTAAAAAACATAACAACTATAATGTTCATTGTTTTCCCATTACGGACACATGGCAAACATTATATAATTACAATTAAAAACAAAACAATAAAAATATATTTAATAAAAAATGGAAAAACTAAAAGCTGCATGAGCTAAAAGAAAGCAAGAAGCTTTAGGCCAACTGCCAACGGAACGTCGGAACCGACGAGGAAAGGAGTAGGAATGTGAGTCCATTGCCTTTAGTCGCAACTCGAATGTCCAAAATGTACACAAACAAATCAATGGGCACCATTAGGTCCACGTTCATTGGTCCTGATTTTGAGGATTTATTTTTATAGATAATTTAATCATAATATAAACAAAATGCTAGCTGCATTCTCCATCATATTTGAATATTCTTCATTTTTATTTTCAATCAAGTGTCTTCCTTTTTTTCCCCCCATTTTGTTATCACAATGTAGATCCCAATTGGATTGGAACAATGTAACAACTAGTCATCTTTAAAATGACATTTGAAACGTGAAATCAATCAACAAATCCATGAATTTGCGTAGACGTTGTACAATATGAGTGTTAATGTTAGGTAAACCTAATAATAAATAGATTTACTTTGTTTTTGTTACAATATATAGTTATTTGGTAAAATGTCGCTTAATTAAAAACAAAATGCAAATAAATTAACATTCCATAATGTAAATGATATTTTTGTTCAAAAAAAGAAAATCATTTGCCTAACTATTAGACCACTTAATCGTAATAGCATCAATTCTGCATTGGACAATGACAAATAGAATTTGCTTTACTCTGTACTAATTTCATCGAAATATATATAACGTAATTAAGTAAATTAACCATACTCATAAGAGCATGAACTACTTTTTTGTGTTCTGGCCTTCTGGGTTTTTACTTTTGATATCCTTTTCTTCTTCCGTTAATTAAGGAATTAAACCGGTTATTTATTTATTTATTTATTTATTTATTTGGCCTTATGTCATGATCATGGTTGTCCCTTGAAACCGTGCTAGGTTTTGGGATTTTATCACAAAGTGGTCGCCAACTATTTTTATTCGTTTATTCCAAATTAGATATTTCCTATAAGATATATAATTGAAATTTACTCCTTATCAGTTATCCCATAATGTAATATGCATTTAAATTTGCACACAGTTCAAAATGTCTTTGCTGGTTGAAAATGACACTTTCACATGTCTAACTTTTAATCATTAAGCTTAAAAAACGGTGGGATTTTAGAATGCCAATTGATACCAATCATTGATAATGAGCATATTATATGTCTACGTACATAGTTATATCTCTCTCCTTCATAATCAATCTTGTATATATATACTATTATAAATTCAATTATTTGCTATGCAAGTCATAGTAACGCTTAGGAAAAAGAGCAAAAATAGGTCATCTTTGAGCAGTGAGCACTGATATGTTATTAGGTCGGCTACAAATGTAAAATATAAGTTTCTAAACGTAAAACACGTGTCACTTTCTTATTGATGTTTTGAAATATAGGAACTATTTTAAAAAATAAATCAATATATATTTTGTTTGGGCCTCAAATTTTGACCATGATCATGATTCAGATCCGTGAATCAAATCTTTTAATCGTAGGATTATGTGATAATTTTAAATCTGACGTCGAAGACAAAGGCCAGAAAATCGGAATGCATGTTTTATCTTTTACTTTTAATTATGTTGCTNAGGAGTCCAAGTGGACCTTATATTATTAATATTTATATAAAGCATAGTACTTTCTTTGACAAGTTCGGTGGCCAAGTTAAAAAAAGCACACGGCCTTTACGCGGATATGAATCAAATTGCAATCCACATATTTTCTATCTAGTCTTCGCAAGTCATTTTTAAGTTTTAACTTTTAACTGCTCAAATTGCAAGCAATAATTTATGAATAAAGTCCTTAATATATGTGACATTCATACAAATTGACAACTTGTGTACGATGTTGTCATATATTTTAATACTTACAAAACTACAAAACGCATAATAAAATAGTATAAAAGTAAAACATAAAATCTCACCCAAGTACCACAGTATCAAAAGATTCAAAACTCTGTCAAAAATGAGTTGAAAACCGAGCCAATGGTAACTTCTTGGATCAATCGGGCAACGTGGACTTAGCTATAAAAGAAAATTCTTAAGCAATTTTTTTTATAGTTATACTCATTAAAATTCGGGATCGAATCATTAAGACAATAATTCGGCTCTTTAATATTGATAAACGAGCCGAACTCGAACTCGATTTCTAATTCGTCAAGGGCTCGAGTTCGGCTCGTTTACGACCCTAGCTACGAGATTGCTGTTAAACTAAATGAGCATGACTTGGCTCGAGCTCGACTTGAGTTCGGCTCGCGTTTGAACTCTTAATAACGAGGCGAACTCGAACTCATTTAAAACTCGTTTGGTTAACGAGTTTTGCTTGATAAGGCTGGTTAAGGTTCAGAAATAGAATTATTATATAACTTTCTATAGTTCGGCTCGTTAAGACTGACACTCGATTCGTTAATAACGATAAACGAGCCGAGCTCGAGCTTAAACTTGGCTTGACTCGTGTACAGGCCTAGCTACGACCATTCACTGGGTGACATGCACCGTGCCAAACCAAACTGAATAAGGGCAGTCACTTATAGTATGCCAAGAGAAAGACAGTCTTGGAGCATTGTAAAGTGTCTTTTTCTCCCCACTACTTTAAGACGCTGTTTTTTGTGGAGCTCAATTTCCTTGAAGTTGTCTTTTGGCCCTCCCGACCAACACATGGGGAAATGAAAGGCCAAAAAAACAAGGAACACATAAATATGTAGTACTATGTGATAATTTATCTGTTGAATTATTGATTTATGAGAAGATAAGCTTAGCTTTCAAAATTATAGTGGGAATTGTCCTGTTTTACGTGCAATTTGGTGGTCTTTGTCTCCAACTCCACCCAGCTTGCCTTTGCCTATGTGTGTACCCCACTTGCATTTGGTCTTTTTTCCACATTTATTGATTTTTCAACTTAGTCTCAAATTCGAAATAAACGTATAGAAATTCCTATTTTTTCGAGCTTTAAAAGACCTTAAAGAGCTTCAAACGAGCTCGCGCTCATAAACAAATCGAATCAAACCAAGCTTACAAACAACTCATTATATTTAACAAACAGCTCAAAGTTTATTATCATGGCTGGGCCACTATTCACCTTCCTCTGAATTCAAAAATTTATTCCAAACATGATTTGTGCAAATTTTCAAATTTTCCCATCTTTCTTTGTTGTCTTGGCTTCATGTTTCACTTGCTCAACAATCAAACACACACACACACACACACACACAAAACACACTTCTAAAACCTACTCCAAGAACTCAAACTCTGCTTTATTATCTAAAAAGAGAAGCCAACCCAACATAAACCCTAATGGCCATCTCTTACAACAACAACAACAAACACACACTCTGAAATCCCAAACAGTAACAAAACACACCGTTCAACCCTCCAAAACACTCTCATCGCCGGCAAATTCCCCGCTCTCCGAGCCCGATCCCGAGCCCGCATCATCCATCTCCCTCTCCATCAAGTCGATCTGCACACACTCTGCAACCGAGCCCTCATGGCTCCCACTCGACGGCGTCAAATCCTCCCTCCTCACCACATTGAAAACTATACTCCCATTCTGAATCCGCTCAGGCTGCAGAAGCTCCCCTTCACCCACCGTAATACTCGACCCGGCCCGAATCCCCCCATCGGGCTCCGGCCCATTCCCCGTGGGCCCACCCAAGCTCTGCACAAAGTCCACAAACCTGTCGGCCGAGGTCGTCCGCATGAGGGGCCCGCCAGATCGGGTCCACGAGGTTAGGTCGGCGGCGGCGTTGGGCTCGGGCTCGGTGTCGGAGCCTTCGGGCCGGTGGCCCGCGGCCGGCGGCCGGCCGCCGGTGAGGGGGAAGTCCTCGAGCGATCCGGCAGAGTTTTCGCGGGCTATGACGTTCCAAGATGGGATTCGTTTGGAGGCGCTGAATCGGGCCGTGGGCCCGTGGTGGGGCCCGCCGGAGGATGACGAGGCGGCCCGTTCGGCGCTGCGTTTGACTCGGCGCATGTGGTTGAGAACGGTGACCGACTCGTCGAGCGCGAGCTCGATTCCGCAGTTGGCTTTGATGGCTGAGAGCTTCTCCCACGTGCACCGGCGGCCTTGGTTCGCGGCCTTTTGAAGCTCCACGTAAGTCGGGTTCTGTATTATCTTCGACAGCTGAAAAAAAAAAAAAAATTACGAAAGGGAGATGTGTAATTTCTTGGATCTTCAAAATTTATTGATTGCGAATTGTTTAAACGATCATATGTTGTTTTTTGCAATACCTGAGATATAGTAGCAGGCATTACGACAGTGACATCGCCTTCCCAGTCCTGAGCAAATAGCTTGGCAAGTCCCCCGAGTGGAAAACCGAGCTCCAATATCTGATTACATCTGTGTTTTACCTCCATCTCCGTTAGATGAGCAAGCTGTACAGTTTAAGTCAACACCGAAAGTCAGACAACTCCAGCAGGGGGAAAGGAGGGAATCAAAAACTCAGAAAATAAAAGAGGAAATCCATTTATTCTCTTGTTCTGTCATACAAGTCTTTACACAGTTTGAAACGTTTAAACTAACTTTCAAAAATACATAGTTAGGGAGAAAATGAATGTAAACATCCAAGGTGAAAATGGCATTGAGCCTGTTCCGAATGTTCCGAAGAGAAAAAGGGACAGAATCAAGAAATAAATACGAGTATTCCTGAATCGAACTCTCAGCAAAATTTATCTCAAGATTTAACTCTGTAACTCATCAAACAACTTTCTAGAGGTCTCTTTAGTTCTCATCATAAATTTGTTCCTCCAAAAACAAAAAATGATTATATGCCTAATCAAGCAGAAAGCTTTTCAATGCTGCTGCTAATTGGAACAAAGGGTCAAGCTCATTGGTACCATCAATAAGCATACTAAAGCAAAACTCTCCAACAAACAGGTTCATTTGACAGAACAGAATATTTTTTAGTTTTCATTTTTTAAGACTTTGACTATATTTTCTTCCATCGTTAAATCACCACAAAACATGGATTCACAAATGACAGTCGGTCAATATACGTCACAATTCAGAAGCAAATAATAAGCCCATTAAAAAAAGCCATACCTTTGCAGCAAAATTTCCTCCATAAGCTCTAACGATCTCCTTCACCCTCAGCAATGGCGCAATATGCGGGTTCGCCTGGCTCACAATAAAATGATTCACATTAAAAAGCTCCTTTAACTGCATCATGGGAAGATCAATCTCTAAACTCCCATCTCTCCACCTACGGGCCGAGGCCCCTGAGGAAGCCTCTTCGGGCCCCAAATGAAATGGCGGGTGGTAAGGCACAATCTCCCCACTCCTATCCTTAGCCATCAGCTCCTGGGCCTCGAAAAGCCCGGGAAAAGCACAAGAAGCCGTGACTGCACTCCATATCACGACATGTGGCGAGGTCAAATAGTTAAGACATCTAGGAGGCTCGTGCTTTCTCGGGGAACAAACGGTAATCCCCAAGATTCGTCCCGTCATGTCATACGCCTCTTGAAAAGTCAGATTATTCGTCAGATTTCTCAACATCATCTGCAACTGCCTTATTTCGTGAACCGCGCCATGAGTCATGACCCGTTTGAAGACGGTGAAAATCCCACCCATCTGATCGAAAAACTGGATCGAGTGCCAAGAATCCTCGAAAAAGCTCTGGAGCTCGGGCCAAGAACGAGTCGCCACAACCGAGCACATTATGGACCCGACGCTCGACCCAGCTATTATCCGAGGCAAAAGCTTGTGCTCGACTAAAGTTTTAACGACTCCCACGTGAAAAGCTCCTAACGAGGCTCCCCCGCTTAAAAGCAAAGCCGTTCGGCCGAAGGCGTGTCGAGTCTCGTGCATGAAAGCGAGTTTTTCTTCTAGAAGAAGCTCCTCAGAGTCAGAATCACACACCATCCTCAACTGTGTGGCGACTTCGTCTATATAGTCTTTGATTAGCTTCGGCACGTGGAGCCTTCCTTTGTGAAGCTCGGGATTACACATGTTGCCGAGGTTTCTGACCAAATCGGCCCTCATGTAAAATATAATGTCTCGAAAAGAACCTTCTTGCCGCCTATGGCGAAGCTCTTGTACTTTGTTCCTCACGAGCTCTACATCGTAAAGGTCGGATTCGTTCATTCTCAAAGTCTCCTTGTCGAGCATTTTCGCAGCGTGGGCCCACTCCTCGTAAGTCAACGCGGCCCGCATCATGTTTCGCCAGAATTTTCGCCGGTAGGCCATTTCGGCTCGTGCTTTTACGTTCGTGCAGCGTTTGAGCACGAAAGCTAAGATTGTGACCATTAAAAGTATGCCCTGTGGGTTTCGAGGGTGGAACCACGAGATTACGGGCGATAAGTAGCGATTTAGGAAGCTTTTGGTTTTGTAGAAGTGAAGTAGTAGCATCCCAAGAATTTGATGCCTCAAGTGGGAGATGGATTTGCAGAGCAAGACTCTGAATGCGACTGTTCGGCCGAAAAGGGTCGAGGGGCCGATCGAGAACGAGTCGACTCGTGCCTCGTTGCTTATATCCATGGGCTTAGGTAAATGAAGCAGCAAACAATTCTAACTATGTGTGTCTATCTGAACAGGGAGAGTGAGGATAATCTATGAAATTTCAAATGGAAGCTCAAATTCCCCTAAATAAATAAATAATAATAATAAAAAAAAAAAANAGACTACAAATGAAGAACGAAAATCCAAACCTCTGGATTCGAAGACAACAAATATTACAGATTTTTTGGCAAATCCAGAAAATATGAAAGAAGGCAGACAAAAAACAAGGACAAAATTTTATCCTCAAGATTCAATTTTTTTCACTGCCCCCTCAATCAAATCTTCAAAAGGGTCCTCAGATCGACCCCACGAAAGAAAATAACAAAAGACGCTGCAGCTTCTAACAGAAAAAAAACGATCTTTCTTTGAATTAGGGAGATTAGATATAAGCAAGCTGATTAGTTATATGACCAGGCATAATAGAACTAATGCGTATGCGTTGAAACTAAACCACACGTTGATTAATAGTTAAAAAATTCAAAGCTTTACGCATTGGGAATTGGGATTGAGAAAGCTACCGGCGTTTGGATTGGATTGGATGGGATGAGATAACGACGACACCTTTTGCATCGGCTGCGGATAAACGGATTAGGCATAACTATACAGAATGGTCTGCGGATATGGGTACACGACATTAAATAAGTGAGCAAAATTGAGCTCAAACTTGTAATTCAGTATGGAGCAATTCTTTTTTAATGTGAATTTTCTTTATTTTGATTCGCTTATGGTTTGATTTTTTTTTTTAAGTTGCAGTAAAGTTCAAAACTTTTTGATCTAAAAGAATGGGACGATGTTATTTTGTGTCAGAGGATGGGATAAGGAGGACACGACTTTCATTTATTGCAATTTGGGCTATTTATTTTTTTCTTTTATCTTCGTGTGTTTAATTGTGATAAACTTTGAAGGGTTTTTGGTAGAGAGTTGTGTTTGGAATTTTGTTTCATGTGGGAGCAAGACAAAAGTTTATTTAGTATGGGTGTTTGTATTTTTCTCACTTTTGTCAAATTTGAGAATTGAGGAGCTTTATCTCATGAATTTAGAAGCATTTCATAATAAGTGACGTGCCTTTGTATTCTTCTCTTTCGTGCCAGATTGAGAATCTAATGATTTTTTAGAAGTATTTTCATAATAATTGAGATGAAAATTGATGTATTTTTCAATATTTAAAATATTAGACCAGGATATGATATTGAATAAGCCAGTAATAAACAGTTTAGCCGTTTAAGTAGGTATTATCGACAATTTTATCAGTTTAACAAATAGTAATTACAATTTTTATTATAAGATAACTGTAATATATAAAAATAAAATTCAATTAATTTTAAAATTGATTAAAAATCAAATAAAATATATAAATATATTAAAATTAATTGTAGAACCCTAGATTTTATGTAAAAAATTGATAGAAATATAAATATAATTATAATAAAAAAAGGTATGATCCATTATTTTATCCAATATTTTGGTTGGTATTACCAGTAATATATGGTATGAATCTTGTATATATAATCCACTTTTTGATACATACGGTATTTTATGGGTTACCAATACCGCTTGGAACATAGTTGTTAGCCAACGTCAACGTACGAGTATTTAAAATGTTGATATTTTCTCATATAATTAAAATGAAAAAGGACAATGAATATTAAAATAACAAAATAACCATACACATATACACACAATAAAATGAAAACATCTTGTGCAAATCTCACACACGTTGTTACTAATGATAAAGTGTAAACAACTAGAAAGGCCTACTATATCCAATTTCTGATGAGATTGAAATTAATACGTACGAGTGTGAGCTAAGTCAAATTTCCATTTCAGGTTTATTCTAATGACATACGAAATTGACTTGAAGTAATGGATCATGACGCAAAATAGATTTGTCGGGTCAATAATGTTGTTGGGCTTGAGTTCGTAAAGGACGAAAATGTTCATATATCCACGATTGGTTAGTGAACTGGGGCATATCTTAATGGGCTGGACCTGTTCAACCCAACTATGTTGAATCTTCAATTTAAGAACTTCTTTTTTAACATTTTAATACATTTTTTTATTAAAAAATATAATATGGAAATTAAATCATAATAAACTATTCATAAGCAAATCATAAATAAAAAATAATATAATTTAGAAACTGGTGTAGATTAATAATAATATAATAATAATAATAATAATAATAATTATTATTATTATTATTATTATTATTATTATTATTATTATTATTATTATTTAATAATTAGTAGTTATCTTAGAGAACAAGTTAGGGTTATTAGTTTTGAGAGTCTTATATAAAGGACTCTCCTACTTTATTGTTACTTGATGAATTTTGAGATTGAATCAGATATTGTGAGTTTTGTGTGTTTTACGAGAGAGTATCTCGTTTATCTTTCCCACTCGTACGCTTCCCTACATCAGTTGGTATCAGAAGTCAGCACGATTCACGATGTTGTCGCGAAGACATGATGCTACAAACGACAGACGTGTCGCCGCCATCTACAACCTGAGCCGTCAGACCGAGTGGTTTAGCCGCGAGCTCGAGACGATGGGTCGTTAGATTGCAGATCTATCCGCGGAGATCGGGGAATTCACGGAGGACGTGGAGGCCGTGGAGGCCGTGGAGCCGGCAACCGGGGCGTGTGCGGGGGAATTCACGGAGGACGTGGAGGCCGTGGTCTAGGCGGGGCGCCCCGTCGGGGATCTCCACAACCACCATCCAGCGATGAAGACGGCGAGGAGACAGTATTGAAGATGAATCCCTTCGACTATTTTCCATCCCCGCACGTTGAGGCTGACTCCTTTGCTGCATACGGCGGCCGTGACATGCGGCGACGGGGCCCGGTCTTCGTGGACGGCGACGATAGAGGCATGCTCGAGGAGACTGTCGTCGCCGACGGTGATCGTGCCCGACGCGATTGGGAATGTGATCAAGAATATGGTCGATGGGAGGGCCCGTTTCACGTTGACATCCCCGAATTTGACGAAGAGCAAGTTGACGGGCCATTGTACGATGGTCCGTCGGTGTTTGATGAAGGACCCGAGGAGGTGGAGGAGCATTTTACCGGCGAAGTGGACTGTCTCTACGACAGTCTGTCGATTTTCGATGAGGAGCCTCCGGGGCCGTAGGAATTCTATCATGTTTCGAGTATCGAAATTCAGCTGTTAGAAGAATTGGTAGTTCTTCTGTTGCACAGGTCCGAGCTTTTCTCTCACGGGAATTTGTTGCGCCCTTGCAAACAGATGTTGTTTTTGTTAGTGTTATATACTGAAAGCTTGGCTTTGCATGTTATTACACATTTACCCTTTATGAATGAGAATCATGTTAGATTAAACAAGTTCTACGTTTTGTTGTTCTGCACTTAGATGGAGTGGGTCATCATCGGGCGAATCGAAGATCACTCTATCAGTTACTTGCGAATAAGAATAGTTGTTCACAACCTAGATGGACATGAACACTCCATCCGAACGGTTGTAGTGTCAACTGTACAGTTTGTCTTGACTGATTAGTTGTACTAGTACATTTATGTATTGAACAGGATCCCAGAGAGGAGAAGTTCATTTTATACTGATCGTCGTAAATGAACTAGGCCTCGGTTAATTACTGCGTTCTCTTAATATATATAATATATATTACTTTGATTCACATGGGTGAGGTTCAGTTCGCTGGATTAATATTCCTACTGTTTTGAGTAATATTATTATATATAGGTTGTGCTGTTAGGATATTTACGGTCACCATGTGCGTCAGTTTGATGATGTCCCCGGAGTGAGTTCATGAAGGATTGTTATGCTAAACCCTGCAGGTGGATTAAGTTCCGGCATAATAAGAATGTGATGAACGAGCGCTAGCTTCGGTGAAATAATAATAAATTAATTAATTCTTGATTGTAGTAATCGAATTAATTAATGGACATTATATCTTAAACGTGGGGAGGTAAATCGAGTAATTATTATTGGAGTCTCAAATGTAATTTGGGCTAAGAAGAGGGAGTGCCATAATATAATGTTGGTGGCCATTAATATTATTTAATTAATTAGAGGAGTGGGCTTGACCCACAGTTAGTCTAATTCATTAAGGAGCCCTTTTCCTAATCTCTTAAGGTCCCTACTGTAGCTCTATATATACATCATTAAGCTCATGAGAAGAGAACAGAAGTCTCATTCACACGAGATACACGCCTCACACGCCTCTCTCTCTCTAGATCTCATTCGAGCTTTATCTTCTTCTTGTTGCTCCACTGGTACAAGTTGAAGAAGGGTGTATTGAGTAATACAGTAGAAGATCTGTAGGTAAACCGAGACGAAATACATTTTGACCTACAGAACTAACCGGAAGTCCGATTGAGACGTACAGTGTTCATGTGTGATTTTACACCATATTTATTGAGTATCTAGAGCTTAGTCATTGCGTTATTGGTGTATAAACCGCATATTTGTGCTTTAATTCTCTATTTGTTGGAAAGGTATTACACGTACTTGTTTTGTAGATATTTTCACATATTTATAGAGCTTGTGGCTATTGGAGGCGCATGGTGAGTACCTAGGACGCCCGAGATGATGATGGATTGATGCACGGATGAGAAATATGGAAGAAACGAGTGAAACGGACAAAAAACGAGAGTGCTGGGATGTGACACGGGCAGTGACACGGGCACCATGCCCGTGTCAGGTGGCCGTGTCACATGAACAGGGACATTCCGAGGGCTTGAACTTGACACGACCCGTGACACGGGCTGTGACACGGGCGTGTCAGGCCGTGTCGCGCGCTGGAACAGAATTTTAATACTTGCCTAATTTGACTAGGAGAGGTTTTTGGACACAAGAGGAAGCATATTTAACCTAGTTTGAAAGGCCAAAAAGAGGAGAACACGTTAGAGAGGCTTGGAAACACACAAGAGGAGCAATTGGAAGGCAAAAGGAGATCAACCACAAAGGGATCAAGGAGATTGAAGATCGACGAGATTCCTAGTTTTTCCTTTCTTCTTTCCTTTTGAACTATTATTGATCATGTTGATTTCTAATATGTCTATGTATTTGAATTCAAACATGAGTAGCTAAATTTCATTGATTCTAAGACATGGTAGTAGATTAATATGTTGGGATTTTGGATGATTTATCATAGTTGATTGTTTTCTTTTGAACCCTATTCAAATATTTTGTTCTTATTTCATGTTTAGAACTTGATCAATTCTTTTACATGTTTGACAATATTGTTCATAATTCGAGAGATGAGTTCAATATTAGGTCTTTAATATTTGACACAATTTACTTGCTTGAATCGAGAGATTAGTAGGTCGTTGTGAGGATATTAGATCTTTTGTTCTAATTGGAGTTGAATTGCATGTGTTGAGTGGAGACGCTAATATATGTGATTTAATCTACGGTTTTATCGATCTCGAGAGGGACGATAGGCTAAAATTGCGATCATCTTATAGGGTAGATAAAGAAAATAGTTAGTTGTGATAAATTTGAAGGAACCCAACTGTTAATTGAACCCATAGTCTTAGAATCTACCATTCCCATATATTCTTCTTAAGTGTTTTTCTAGTTGTTTTCTTATTCTTGCTTTATTTGCGTTGATTTATTTCGTAGTTTAGTTAACCTATCCTATATTCGATTGTCTAAATAAAATTGACACTATCATACTCTTGTACTTGATTAAATAATTATTTGGTCTCTTGGGATACGACCTTGCTTGCCACTTACTACGAGCGAAACCGTACACTTGCGGTCGAGCTTTAAAAATATAGGCGAACATACAGTATACCCAGACGACCGTCTCGACGAGAGCTTTCCATCGTCGCCGACGTCGCCGGGTTCCGACGCCGCACGCGCCCTCACGCGCCGCCGGAATAAGCCTGACTGCAAAAATTCGTTTTGATCTGTTTGCATCTGTTTGATCTGATTTTGATCTGATCTTGTTCGTGCAACCCAAGACGTGATTTGCGGTCAATCAATTGCGGTCAACCGTTCGTGGTCAGCCAGATCTACATAAATTTTAAGCCGTAAGTTCTCTACGTCAAACCTTTAGATCCGCTACGCATATGTTTACGTTTGTTATTGAATTCGTGATTTGTACATAACGAGATCCTCACAGATCCCAACAATTTTTTGGTCACCACGGTGACTTCAAAATTTTGTGTGTGGCTGCTGCATATATGTCTTTCTATGAATTTCAAGGGGGTGATACCATGGAGGTGCGACATTCAACCTTCGTGTTCGACAGGGGAAAACGACGGGGATTATTACCATGGGTTCGCCTCCACACCAGCCACGGGAGCGCGTCGGCTTTGAGAGCGAAGCCTTTCGAACTGAGGGAGAATGGTGTAGAATAATAATAATAATAAATAATAATAATAATTATTATTATTATTTAATAATTAGTAGTTACCTTATAAAACAAGTTAGGGTTATTAGTTTTGAGAGTCTTATATAAAGGACTCTTCTACTTTATTGTTACTTGGTGAATTTTGAGATTGAATCAGATGTTTGTTTTGTGTGTTTTACGAGAGAGTATATCGTTTATCTTTCCCACTCGTACACTTCCCTACATCAGAAACCAATGAAAAAATAAACTACAAATCAACTATTTATAAACTGTAAATGTTAGTACATATTCAACTAAAAAACTTCGTAAATGTACAAAATAAAAAAATGTAAGTGAGTGATGTATTTCTTTCTTTAATTCGGATGCAAAAAGATTATTGGATGTAAAAGATTTTCAAGAAATATAGAACTACGAATTACTACATATTTAAATATTTATCAACTCATAAATCCTATCAATTATTGTTTTCATTAAAATATTTACTAATTTACTACTTTATAATAATTTTTCCAATATATATATATGTACATTACTAAAAAAAAAATCATTTCACCCAAAATCCTCAATCTATCTGGACACAAAATATGACTCATGGATTATGGTCCACGCGTTTTGACTTTTCATGCCATATGGCCTTGTACAAGCTGTAGATCGCACAAACATCCTCACTTGCAATAAGTGGATTTTTTTAAGATTTGTAGAAAAATATTACTAGATAATTTAAAAGTAAAAATAAAATAAAATCAACCAAGCATTTGCTTATGAAAAGTCGGTGATATGACAATGACTATGTTGGGTTGTAAATTAATTGCCAGATGCAAACCAGGTTTAGGAACCTACAATTTTTAAATTTTATTGAAACCATAATAATGATTGAAAGAATCTTCAATGAGAAGGGCTACATTATTGTAACAACTTTGGAGTTGTTTAACTCGTCAACTCGGTTCGAATTTGGTTCGCTAATATTAATAGACAAATTTAGTGACTCGTTTAATTAACGAGTTAAGTATAAATTCGACTAGATAAACACTTAAATTTGAACTTGAGTATTGTAAACTTGAGTTCGATTTGGTTCGGTTAAGCCTCGTATTACACCGTCTTCTTTGGAAATTGTTTAATTTAGGTAAAAACACTACAAATATCATAAGTAATTTCCATATATTAAAATAAGAGCTGTCTTTTGCTAAGTTTGACAGATTTTCTAATTGTTGAGTTACGCAATTACACTTATTTAAATAATAAACACAAAACAACAACATAATTGAAATTTAGTTATTGATGACGAGTAGCTGTAGCACAATCAAGTATGAATAAATGTAAATTGATTGACAAATAAAAGATGAGCCGATTTATAAGCCTCTCTATAATTTGCTTCTCAAATATAAATTCTACACATAAATCACTAAATAAACATGTAAAAGTTATAAAAATCACAAAGAAAATACTTGAACCATCAAATTATATATTAAATTTTCAAAAAATAAAATATTGAGTAATTTCGACACATACGTTTCAGGTCCCTTTCCACCAGCTTAAGCTTTGGAAAAAAAATAAAGAGAAGAACAAAAGAAGAAAAAGTATGGCCAAGTCAAGAAGCCAATGGACATTAATACTTTAATAAATAAATAAAAAAGGTAAATTAATGACTCCACCACAATTTGCACAAGTCAAAATATAAAAAAAAAAAAGCAATAAATTTTCCTATAGCAAGCTTGATTTTTTTGCAGCTGACATAATTATTCAGATTAAAAAAAGAATCTGTACTTGAATCCAAAATTCCACTCTGAATCCTATTATCCTACAGCAATTTCTTCAGTTCATCACCTCCTTTTCTTGCTAAAACTTTTCATTGTCTAGACCAAAATTCACACATTCAAAAATCTTTTCTTACTAAAACTCTCTCTATCTCACACAAAAACAAGAGGTAGCTTTGATCAGAGATTATCAGCTTCAATGGAGTCTTGTGATTCATCACCAAATAATTGTATGAGGGCCACAAGCACCTTTGATGCAAAGAAGGGTTTTTCTCCTGTAAGTTTTTCTGTTTATTGGGTTGGTTTATTCATTTTTTGATTGTGCCTTGAATGCTGTTGTCTTTATTGGTAGAGATATTGTGGAAAAATTTTACTAAGAAAATCAAGAATAAATTATATGGAGTCTGTGTGATTGGATTTGGAATGGACATGAGATGTAAAAAGTAAAGATTATAACAGAAAACATTGTGCTTTTCAGAATGTTTTTTCACAAGCAAAATCACACATTTTGATTCCCCAAAAAACACAAAAAAGGTGCAAACTTTACTAAAACCCTATGTTGTTTTCCTCAGCAAGGGGGAAGTGAATGTGATGAAATGGCTTCTGTAACTTCCTCGACTTGTGGGTCGTCTATTAACAAACCGGACGACAATGGAGGCCTCAAACATAGGACCAATAAAAACCGAACATCAAAAAGCTTCAACAAGGTTAGAACTTTCCGGAAAAGAACGAAATCAAGAAATGTTCGTCAAACTCCACTCACGATACCATACGAAAATTCCTCTTTCGACTCGTCCGAATCCTTGCCTCACTATCTTAAAGCCACAACTTGTTCGCAAGGCAAGAAAACGGGTAATAAGTCCTTACAAACTATTTCGAGCTCGTCTAGCTTTAGGAATGTGGGGTTTTTAATGAAGAAGACCAGTTTCAAGCCAAGAAAGGGGATTTTGAATTATTCTAAGTTTATTTCTGAGGATGTAGCCGTTAATCGAGCGACTTATTCTTCGACTATTAAAGGCTCGAATTTTTCCAAACGGGTCGAGTCTCATTCGGTTGGGAAAGAACCGGAAAAAGTTTGCCGGTACCACCATTGCTCTCTGCACGGGCTTTGCGGAGGAACTCGTGCTCCCATTGCTCGTACAAAGAGTTTTCTTTACAAAAGGAGAAAGTCGATGAAAATGCAAAAGCCCATGTTGAAAAGAATCGAGCCGGAGCATTATATGAAGAAGAAAAATCAAGATAAGAACAGTGTCGATTCTTGTGAAGAAAATCGTACCAATCGGGAAAAGGGGCCGTTTGGATATGAAAATGTTATGGGATTGGATATTGTAGAAGCTGCGTGTGGCGAGATGTCGTTTCCCGAGAGAAGTTACGAGGAGAATCTCGAAATATATAGAAAATATTCATCGTTCGAAGGGGAATTTTGTTCGAGATGCTCTTGTCATATCCGGGATGAAGTAACTTACTCGAGTCTCGAAAAGTCAAACGAAAAAGTCAGCAACTTTAGTGAGGATAGCTCGGCTGTGGACTGTGCTAGCGACGAATCGATTAAATTTTGTCCTGAAACTCCAATTGCATTCCAAGAGTCGAGCAAAAGGAGTATTATTGAGATATCATCATTTTCTTCTCATAGCGATGATGAACTGGAATCGAAAGCCGAGCATTTTCCAGCTGGCAATCTAAAATGCAATAACGATAAAATCACGAGAGTTAACGAGCCCGATCAGCAAGAAGAAGGGAGAAAGCTTCAGTTCAGCAAGCAGAGGCATATCAGCATGTGGCATTTGATACATCAGAACATGACTGGAAATTTGGCTGCGGGGCCCACAGACAAGCCGTTCGAAAGCGAAAACTCGGTGGATAGTGAAGAATCTTCTCTTGGAAAGGGAAGTACAACTCCGAGTGGAGACTCGATTACTGATTCTGAAAATCAAGAAATCGAGGTACGTAAGATGATTGCTATCAAGCTCGTTCGGGAGGCGATCGAGAAGATTCTTCTCCCGGAGGTTCAGGATCAGACGTCTGATGATCAGTCGGTTACCAGTGAAAGTACTCCAAGAATGGCAATTATCGAGCGAGATCAAACTCGAGGTAAAGCTTGAACTTCATTTTAAGCCTTATTATTGTGTACATGTGTTTTTTCATCTCAGTTATTCTTTTCCCTTAACCTTTTATGGAGTGTTCATCTTTTAGGCTGTTGAAAAATGAGACTTTCTTACAACCTATTCACCAATTCATTCTAGTTTTCGCAATCAAAAAAAAAAAAAAATCGCTTGTTCGGTAACTGATCTCATTTTCCACTTTTCCTCACAGCTATAACCGAACAAAATCATGAAGAATCGGATGCTTTTGACAAAGTTGATCGAGCACAAGAAAGTCAAATCAATGATAAGACTTCTTTAGGTCAAGTGATCAAAAAGTCCGAAAAGAAAGCTCCAAAACACTGGAGCAATCTCAAAAAATGGATCTTGCTTCAGAAATTCATCCGGGAATTGGAGAAAGTGAGAAAATTCAACCACCCCAAAAAACCGAACCTCTTACCGCTAACCTCCGAACCGGAATCCGAAAAAGTCAACCTCAGACACCAAACGGCTGGCGGCAAGAAAAACGCCGAGGAGTGGATGCTCGACTATGCACTCCGCCAGGCTGTACGCCAGCTGGAGCCTACTCAGAAGAAGAAAGTATCGCTGCTCGTGAAAGCATTCGAAACTGTGGCTCCTTCGAGTCTCAACTCGGACGAGCCCGTTTCGGAGAAAAATCGAGATAAACATAATGAGGGTATTTTAGTCCAAAAAAACTCTGCAAATCAAGAAAGTGAAGAAAGTGAGATTATCGATATTACGGACAAGAAAAAACACGTAGAGATGTGGCACATGATATATCAGCACGTTGTGTCGGGCATTGCTGAAAAAATCGGGACTCGACTTCTCGACGAATCAGAAGAAGACGTTATTATCTCGACCGAAGATCACGGGTCGAGAGAGTTCACCAAATCTGACGCGCTCAAGCTCGTTAAAGAGGCGGTTGATGAAATTTTACTTCCGGAAATTCAAGACGACGACTCGTCTGAAAAAACCGAGCAGCTGCCGACAGGTAAAAACTGGAGCAAACTCAAACGGGTTATCATGCTTAAGAGATCGATTGAGGCTCTGAAAAAGGCTAGAAAAGTAGAACCGAAACCAAATGATTCGCTTCACGAGACGCCACCTGGCGAAAAAGGGGAGAAAGTCGAGCTGAGACGGGAGATGATGGACGAGAGGAAAAAGGCGGAGCAATGGATGCTCGATTATGCAGTTCGACACATTGTTACGAAACTGACTCCGGATAGGAAAAGACGAGTGTCGATGTTAGTCGAGGCTTTCGAAGCAGTTGTTCCCTTACCAGAGATGTAAAAAACAGTCAAACACACTGAAGATTTTTTGCAAGTTTAAGGAAAGAAACAAAAAGAAGAACAGTATGGGGCAACGTAGATATATCATATGTGTTGTTTTTTGAAGGTAAGCCATTGTGAGTCCTTAATGTATGCTTGTGGTATTTTGTAAGAAAAAAAAATAAAAAATCTTTCTTGTATGAATTTTAAGTAGTTATGGTGTGGATATATCAGAAGTTCTATGGTGCTCATATGAGCACCATATGGTGCCATAATCTCATGATCCAACGCTTAATATCCATTGTGGAATTGATAGAATAGATATTAGGCGTTGGATCGTGAGATCTATGGCACCATATGGTGCCCATATGGGCACCATAGAATTTCTGGTGGATATATGCTTATGTTCATGTATAATTTTTTCCAAGTTTGGTATGTGATTCTGTTTTACTATTTCTATTTTGGATGTAAAAATCATCACGTGAATTGATATTTTCATCATCACATTTGATGATTGTATTTTTTTTTTTTTTCCGAAACGATAGAAGATTTTATAACACACAAATGTACAGAGAGGAGATCACATTCCCAATTTCCTCTCTAAAACACTGCTGATATTTATTCCTTACATTCATCCAAATAGCCCATAAACAAGAAGAACTTTGATGTTTTGATAATGCAGCTAGAAGGGAAGTACTTACCTTTCAAGAGTTTACTTATCAGAAGGTTTGGCTTAGTGGCAATTTTGCAGATTTGCTTTAAAATTGTTCAATAAAATACAAGAGAACTGGACTAAGAAAAATAAATAAATAAATAAATAAACCTGTGCTAATTACATATATATTTTTTATTAATATAAAAATATGAATCGATAAGGCTGCTAATAGGTAGAATTTATTTTTCTTCAACAAATATGCAAATATTTATACACAAGTGAATATACTTTAGAAAAAAACATAAATTAAATTATGATAATCTTAAGTATAAGAATGATTTTCGAAAAAAAAAATGATTAATAGACTCATCTAATTGCTAAACTGCCATACACAAAAATATGCGATCGATATGGTTAGAGGCCCCTAACTATACTATTGCTAAGAGCATCTCTAATGGAGATTGTGATGTATGACATGGAGAAAGGGAATTAAAAATTTTTGTCTTCAACGATTAGTGTTAATTGTGGTGTGCTTTGTGATGTGTAAAATTGTAATTGGTTGAAAAAGAGAGATATATTGAATAAATAATATAATATATAATAGAAGTTGTCTAGAAGGACTTCTATATCTAGAAAGCCTTCTAGACATTTTTCTGGCCACGTCAGATTTTTTATGCCGTGTAGCAACAATGGAAAGACCATTGGAGATGCTCTAACATTGAAACTCCCCACTTCACTTATATACGAGGCATATGCAGAATATCCCGGAAAAAAAAAAAATCTTATTTCTCTTTTGCTAATTAAAGTTATTTGGGATTGAAGTTATATCAAATTAAAAGTCAATATTGATTCATATTATATGCAGCTACCACTAAGATTAAGATGTGGACAATTTTAATTGTGCACCGAATATCCTGAAATATATGCCTGGTTTTTCTTGTTCCAGTGTCATAAAAGTTATATTTCAATCATCAGTTATTATATATTTCAAACTATCAATTTATTATTGTATATTCAAATTATCTATTGATACTTTAAATTTCGTGTTGTCCATTGCATGATGAAATATAAATCTAAAAGTGGGTAATTTGAACTGATTGTTTACTTACAGAAACACTCATGACCTAATTTAGTATATATTAAACCGAATCAACGTTCTATGACATTGGCAGATATGAAGTTATTAAGACGTACACTTAATATATAATTAACTCAAATGGAAGAGTTATATTACCTGTACACAAGCATGTATTTTAAAACAAATTGATTCCTAACTCCTGAAACATTTTATTTTATAAATAAATAAATAATTCCACTTGTATAGAGCTTCAGTTTTACGAGCAGAAAACCTTATAAATCACAAAAGCAACGGAAATTAGAAGGAATCTTGATGCTGCCCAGAAACATTTAAATTAAATATATTGATAAATAAATTATTAATTAAAACATTCATATAATCATATCAATTTAGTAAGACTATGAAATCGTAGACTTTTCCAAAATTTTAACAATTGAAAATATTAATTCCTTCACATGTCACCATAAGCTCATTAGCCATGCTCAAAGTTTATTAGCTTACTTTATTAATGAGGTCAACAAATTAACATTTCTTATTATTCCCCTTCACAAAACGTGGTTTCAGTGTGTGGACCGAATAATAATAATAATAGTAATAATAATAATAATAATAATAATAATAATAATAATAATAATAGCATGAACACCAATAATTCTAGAGTAAAAAATAAATGAAAAATGGAAATAAATTTTGTAGGGAAAAATTCCCTTGAAAAGTCACATATTTCAATACTTATTTTGATTTTTTTTATACGTTTGCATTTTTCTTCAATTTTTTAATACGTAATCTGACTATTCAAATACCAGTGTATTTACACTAAACTTTAGATATTTGTTGGTTGAAGATGCCACCAAATGCAATTGTATTGGCTCTATAAATACATGAAGGGGTAGCTCATTTGTAATAAACCAACCAAACCAAAGGGCCTAAAAAAAATCAGTTATTTTCTTTTAAATCCTATGTGCCACTCTTAATTCTCTTCTTATTAAACTTGATCAATATTTCATGGCTGGACTTCAGTACAAATTCTTCCCGACGGATTTCTTGTTTCCCCTCCACCAATCGGCGGCGGCAGCCACCACAGCTGGCGGTGCCGGAGATAATCCTCCACGGCAAGTTTCTCTAGTCAAGGTCGAAAAATCGGACCCCAAGCAGCAAAATTCCGGCGCCGGCAAGGGCAAGATTGTCAAAACAAGTCCATCGGCAGTTTTCTATGCTCCTATTATTCACAAGAAAAAATAGGAGTGAAAATTTAAGCCTGGCTTTAGTACAATGAAAGAGTTGATTCACGAGAATTTACATATTTCAGTTTTTCCGTACTTGAATGGAAGAGTGTTCTTTGACAGCCGATAAATGGATATTAAAAAGAATAATATTGGCAGACTAATTGAGTAATAATTAAGTTTTATAATTATTAATTTTTGTTTGACAATATTTGTACACGCACCTGGTTTTTTACCACCACAAGTGCGAAGATGTTTGGCTTTGACCTACTCCCAATTAGCAAAAGCATTTGAAAAGAAATTCGAAATAATCCCAGCAAAATATGGAAGAATATTCCGAAGCATATACCTCCGGCGAGCGTAGTTTTCCACATTCGGGCTATTGGGCCTATGGCTAGTCCAAATTCGTAAAACAATCACAATACAACCCAACTCAGTAAAACCCTGGATTCAGAATGGACCAGTAGATGGGCCCAAATACAAAAGAAATTGCACATGAGAATTGATGTTCACACTAATGACATTTACAACCTTTGGGTTTTCATTATCGAACTCTAGACTGAGGGGCGATCGATAGCTAAAAGTCAATAATAATACATGATTCTATAAGAAAACTTAACTAAAAATATTCATCGTGAAAAGTTCAATTTAATTATAATTATTGTCGACAATAATTCATAATCTTAATATGAAAGCATGCATATATGGGACTTAAAGGGTATTAATGTCCACTTTCAAGGGCATTTTGGTCCACCCCTTTTGGTCTTCCAATTGTTGTAGCAAGGGCAAAACTGTTTGTTGCCATAAGTTCCTGGAGGAACACAAAGGCATTTGGCACAGCATTTTTGGCAGAAAAACATACATGGCTTCTTGAACGCGGTTTTCGAGCACCTTCCCGTGCACCGGGGCCCACATTCTGTCGAAAAATAAAATAAATTTGGTATATTTTAAAATTTTCAGCAGAATGGTTCCGTAACGGGACTATAGTCATCCCCAATGTTATATATATTTCAAAAATATGATAATTTGTTAGTACAAACATGCATTTTTATATTTTAAAAAAAAAATAAATCACGAATTGTAGACTCGCCTGACCATTTGACTGACTCACACAATAATAATTGAACAAGATGAAGAGTTATTTGACTGGGTTAAATTTTAAATTTATAGTTCCCTAGGACAAGTGAAATTTTAAATTTGTCAAAAAGTTTGTACCTTTTGGGAGAAATCCAATAATATTATACCATCTTGATTGATATGTGGTTCTATTTTTATGGAGTAACATTTTGCTTCTTAATTAGGTAAAGAAATGCATTTAATTTGTAACAATTATATATACTACAACTATATAAGGAATAATTTTAAATATAAAAGAAATGTTCTCTTACCCTGAGGACGAAGACTACCAGGAGTTGCACCATACTGAACAAAACAAAATTAGCTACACTTAATTAGCAATTTGAAAAAGAATTTAAGATTAAAAAAATAAGAAAATAAACATTATGGTTAAACGAAAAAAAAAATAACATAAAGTGATTTATAGAATGAAAATTCACTTGAAAAATTAATAAAAAAAAATAATTTTTTGAAAGAAATTATTCTTAATTAATTACCATCGGGAAAGTGCTAATTGGTAGTTGTGGCTGAGGAGCTGGAGAGAAAGTTATAACTGCTGCCTGCATGCACAAATTAATTATTAGGCTAAATTAAAGACTATATACATGTTATATTTAATTAGATCACAATTTTTTTGTGTGAGGTAACTAAGTTGACGATTAATCAGGTCGATCAGTCATACTTTTTTTCTAAAACAAAAAATGTGTTGAGAAGATAAGCATTATACTTTTGTTTATGTTATTTTTTAAAATATGTCAAATTGTGTGTGAAAATATGCAAATTTATTAAAAATTAAAGTATAACCGTGTAGTGACTATTGACTAGTTCTGCTTAACATTAGCCTTAGTACAATTTTCATGATAATGTTACTTAAAATGAAAGGGAAAAAGTAAATGAAATAAAATAACTTGGACTTACATGGGTTTTGATTAGCAGAAGAATCATGAGCAGAAAACAAAGTGTGAAAATTTTGAGTGAACTCATGTTTAACTTAATTTTTTTTTATTTTTTTTTAAAAAAAACACTATATGATAGCTAGGGAAATTTATCTGAGATAACAAGAAATGTGAAGTGGCTCTATTTATAGTTGATGTGTGCCTTATGTTACTACCTCATGAATAATATAATAAGTTAGAGAACAATTTTTTATTTTATTCTTTCTCCTTTTTCCTTTTCACATGTATGACAACAATTTTTGTCTGGACAACTAATAATAATACAGTTACAGAATATAAATATATTATATTTCACACGGGTAAATATACAAAATTTAAATATAAAAAGCTTTATTTTAAGCTAAAATTATAATAGACAAAGTTATTGGATTAAAATTGTGTTTTTTTATATATATTTTTTTCAAAATTGCTAAACTATGATATCGGTTACAAAATGTGAGACGAAATTCGTAAAACTTTTCATACTTTGAGTTACTTAAATTCGGATACTTTATATTAAAATTTGTTGTGAAGTTTCTCGCACACGAGACCATTGTGCGATTAGTAAGCTCAGTTCATTTATCAGCTCGCTTTCGAACCAAAAGTTTCAAAAGTTAAACATTGGCCCGAAAATGTGAGCCGATTTATAACAAAATTCACCTAGATT